GGGGGGGGGGGGGTTGAGGCAGGGGGCATGAGAGTATGTCCAGACTTCAGTACCAGTATAACCCTTATCTTTAGAGAAATGCCTCCGCTCACGGTCCTCCAACTCTTCCCGGAGGTTCCTCCTCTGCAACTCATCCTGGGTGTCTTGTCCCTCCTTTCTGTTTCCATACATGACGATGTGAAACGGGATTAACAACTTGGAATCAGGATATAATTTAGAGAACAACACATGAAATACTACTGACGACTAGAGTTTCATCAATCGACGTAATAAGTAATCTCAGTAGCCATTTTACCTGGTTCCTACAAAGATAAGTCATGTTATCTTTTCAGCTTTTAAATAAATTGAGTGATTTAAACTGATCATCTTTTTCTCTCGAAATTTCATGATACACATAGGTATCCTTCTCATAATTTTCGCTCACGATGTTCCAACAGATAAAATGAAGAATAGTTTTACCATTTTCCTGATACAGGATGCACATTAGCAATGCTTCGTTTTTATAAGGTCATTAACAATGCTTCGTTTTTATAAGGTCATTAACAATGCTTTGTTATAGTTAATATCATGTATGTCTTACTCATTAAGGTTGGCGGAGCAATCTTACCAGATGCTAATTAGGACACTACCTCAATTTCAAACTAGAATAATAAGAGACAGTAGAAAAATATCCAGTAGTCCAGTACAACTACCAAGGAAAATCTACTTCTAAAAAACACACAGTTCATCGTTGACGGGTATAATTTGACTCATGACAACCTCCCTATAGTGATCAGTGCATTTTACTGTTATCTATTTCACGTCATTAAAATGCAACGCGCGCGTGCACACACACACACTCTGTATATTATGTGTGTATATACACAGACACACACAACAATAACAACAACTCAGCCTCAGTCTCAAACAAGTCGATATCGGCTATATGAATCCTCACTAACCATGGTTTCCCATTTAAACTCATCTCAGACCAACATTATATCAAATAAAAAAGTAAAAGGTATTAGAAGTTATCTATATCTTTTCTACAGGCATATAAATATCTAATACGGCTAAAAGACTGCTCGAAAGCATAGGAATGCAAACATGCTAATATGACTAAGCATATTCCCAACTAATTGCTATCCACCTATAAAGATCTTTTTCTTTCATTGTGCTCTATTTTTCGTAAGTCTGCATGGATTCCAAGAAATTATAGGTCTTTTGAAATAACTTCCTTCCATGTAATTTTAGGTCTACCCTGTCCCGTTTTAACACCTTCACTCACCATGGTCTCACACCTACGAACCATTGCACGGAGGTCAACATCGGACATATAATACACGCACACTAAAAAGCACACAATGCAACTTAGATATCTATACTCAACTTAAATATCTATATTGAAACAGGTTATCTGGGCCATGAAATGCCAAAGCTTGTATTTGAACTTTGGAAACATCCATGATCCCCTGCCCCAAGTAGATAGGTAAAACAATAAGAAAGGGAGAAAAAACTACAAATTACTTCATTGAGGTTTATCATGCCAAAATTTATTTTAGAGGGGGTTGTATGAAATATGTCTAACACAGAATAACAGAACAAAGCCATGCTCCTTTGCTTCTCAGTAACACTCTGATAAAGTTAAGTCTCAGCCCTGGTTTTATGACATAAGTTTCCCAAATATTTTCTACTAATAATATTAGAATCCTACTGCCTATGGAACATGCTAAACAAAATCGACTAGCTTGATAGACAACTCTATGTTAAAGTAAAATCACGGAGTTATTCATATTTCTCAGTTAAAGATACATCACCAAAGGAACATCATTTTGATTCTAACCACTGAATTATCACATTGTTTGGTTATATCGTCCAACCGCTCAAAACACATACTCAATGACGTGACTTTCGTCAACTATATTTACTAATTCAAAGGACTTGCACAAAGCTCATATCTCCTGAACTCGGTAAGACATCACCTAGTTTAAAATTTCTTCATGCACATGGAATAAGATAGAAAGCTCCATAAAATTAAAACATATGTGAAAATAAAAGCACACGACGGGGCAAGATTACTAACCTGGGCTTTAAGGTAGTGTGAGCTGCAATGTCTCTGGAAGAGTACTTTTGAGATGGACCAAAAATACGAGTTCCACCTTGTTCATTGCCACCTTTAGCAGGTGCCCAAGTAGGTCTAGCTGCAGTCGTCATACCTTCTAGATCTCCTAGACAAAATCTATCAAAAAGAAAGATGTAACCACTTACTCATAAAACGAAATTGAAACAAAATGGGCCCAAGTAGTGTCGACTGGATTGAGATGATTCATAGTACTAACCCAGCTAGTCTGGGAGTAAGACATTGGTACAACAATTATAATAATTATTATTATTGTTATTATTTTCTATCAACTGAAATTGGAGTGAAATGGGGCCGAACAGCCCAGAATTTGTTGCAGACTATTCATATAGTTGATCCTAGCTAGTTTGGGATTAAGTTGGAGTTGATGATGATCAGCACCACAACAACAGTAACAACAACCACAACAACAACAATAATACTAATAAATACTATAAACTCAAGAACTGAATCGGACCTTCTTGCTTAAGAGCAGGCAGCTCAAATATTGGTGGAAAAAGTGAAAATAAACGTGAATCGAAAGAACCAACCATAGGAATCTCTGGCTTGAGCTAGGGTAAAGGAATTTTTCAGAAAAAGTACAAAAAATACATAGAAACAAAAAAAAAAAAAAAAAAAAAAAAAAAAAAAAAAAAACTGAAACCCTAGAAAAACAACATCGTTGCAGTAACTTAAGCACTGATTGACGAAATCCTATGATAGTTCAAATGAGAAATTGAAGTAAAAATACACAAAATTTTCCATTACCTAACGTCCGACGAGAAGTGATCGTAGAATCAGAGGGAGTCGGAGCTTCGACACGAAATTGAGAGAGAAGAAACTATGGATTCCGCTTTCAACGGATTAAAACATTTATCAATCCCTAAAATTACATATTTGCCATCGTCTTCTTTGACTGTGGTCCAGTGGATAAAGGCTTGGGCCCTTGCAAATCTAGCAGTATCTTTACACAAATAGCTACTATTATTTACCTTTCTTGTTCCGTATATATAGATTATACATTGATTATATATTATTATATATATTATATTATATTATATTATATATGAGTTATACAAAAATTATATATTCACTATTTATTTTTAGTTTAAGCAATTAGATGGACGATTATTTAAGTTAGTTTTTCAATTTAAAATCATCATACAATATTTAGATTATTGGGCTTTCTTGAACAAAATAGCACATTCTCTAATCTCTACTTTAAGGGGCACCCTGTAAGTTGTTTGAGAGGGAGGGGGAGGTAAAAATAGCATCCACATTTGTCGATCGTGTCTTTAAAAAATAGGAAGTTTACATAAATAGCAGGTCATACTCACTATTTACCTTTTTTAGTCATATATATTGATTATACATTAATTATATATAATTATATACATATGTTCAAATATTATACCTTCACCGACTATTTTTAATTTAAACGGTTAGGTAAATGGCTATTTGCGTTAATTCTTCTTACAAAATTATCACTATCTTAATGCTTTTAAATTTTACAAGTTAAATTCCATGCTAGTGACATGCATTTTTTGTTATCGTTCATATTAGTTATTAATATAATAATCGTTTCTATCAAATAAGAAGTTTAACGAGCAAAACATGAATATCAACACATACTTCATCATGTTTTAATAACATGAGGTGAAATTGCTTAAAAAATTAAGAAGAATTAACCTAAATAGCCGTCCACTCAACTGCTTAAACTAAAAATAGCCGACAGATGTATCATATAATATATGTGTAATTCATATATAATATATGTACAAACATGTATAATTTATGTATATAGGTTAGGAAAAGTAAATAGGGAATCCAATAGGCTATTTATGTAAAGATTCCAAAAAATTAATATATGAAGTATGGAAGTGATACAAAATTGACTGATAAATTGAATTGATTTTGATATCAACAATAATGTATTTGGTACTTGCAACAAAAAGGGGGAGGCTGCTGATAAGTGCTCTTTCCAACTTTTCCACAAAATACAGCGCTGGTTTTTGTATATATAAAAATATTCCATTTCAAGAACCAAACGAACACAACAATTCTCCTACTCTGAAACTAGCGAACATTCATTCCAACAATATGAGTGATCTTAAATCCAAGTTTTTGGAGGTTTACTCAGTATTAAAATCTGAGCTTCTTAATGATCCTGATTTCGAGTTTACTGATGAGGCTCGTCAATGGGTCGAACGGGTAAATTTTTTTTTTTTAAAATTTTTTTTTTTGATTTCCCATTTTTGATATTTAGTTTTTAAAATGACTCTAATAGAGAAAATGGACATAAAAATTCATATAGTGGATTAGGAATTGATATTAGAGATTCATATAGTCGATCCGAATTAGTTTGGGATTTGTAGTTGATTGATTGAATTTAGCTAGTATATGTGATGATGAGAGGTAGTAGGTACCTGCAGTGCGGAGAAGCTGGCCTTGACACCACCATTATATATTTTTTTTATAACGGCGCTGTATAGGCCAGCTTGCGCGCACCTCGGCTCGGGTTACCTATCTAATGCAAGGTTTACGGTTCCCGTGAATCCAGTAAATTTTGCGTAGAGCCGTAGATCATGTATTTATACTAAAAAATTCATTAAAAGTATATATTTAGCTTGGAATCCACTTCGTTGATCCAATTATTATGCATATTAACTCGAGATCGTTGTAGGAACCCATAAGCTTAAAATTCTGAATCCGCCTCTTTTACCTATTACCTACCACTAGCTCAGGTACCGAGTAATTATGTCCATCAAGGTTTGGACAAATGGGAAGAAATCACCTAATGTTTTTGACTCCGCTAGGATTCAAAGACACCACCATTATAATTTTAAAAAAAAACTATATTTGCTTCTTGAAGCATCTTGATATGTTCCTTTCCCTTCTTATTTTATGGAGTTTTTTTTTGTGGCAGAACCTTCTTATTTTATGTGAATTGTGTAGAATTTATTATTTGGCTGCATTTTGATGTGGTTCGTTTCTACTGGTGTATCATGTTTTAATTTGGTGATCCTCTGTTCTTTCATCTAAAAGATTTTTGATGTATGTTGAATCCATATTATAAAGGATGATCAGCTAGTTATACTTGACATGTTATCATATCATGAGTGATCTGCTAGTCTCATAAGCGAGAAAGGAATACTTTGTTTGTGATTGAGCTCATTAACATGAGGTAAAATAAAGGCTTCATCTTTTATTTCTAATATGGAGTAAATTAGATGATTGGACTTTATGTAGACTGCAAAAGAATTAGTTTATGGGTTCGAGTTCAAGATTCTACCACAATTAATTAATTTGTACTTATTTCGTGAATTCTTTTAACACATATCTGGGTTCAGAAGAACTGCCTTTCATTATTTGGTAGTGCTTGAACTAAGTCATTTGTAAACCTCATTTTTTATCAACTGAACAAAGATATGAGCACATAAGAATGTGTCCGCAGCATCAGAAAGAAACTATTCTCAACTATCATAATGAAACGAAGATGACACTGGATTGATAATGGAATGTAGACTGCAAAAGAATTAGTTTTACACCCTTTTACCATATGCTCCAAACATCCAGTGAAGAAGATGCGTGTTAAGTAGAAATTTTGATGTTATAAAAGGATGTCTAACCAGAGGCGGAGCCAGGATTTGAAGTTTATGGTTCTGAACTTGCCACAGGACCCATAACTCATTTTAGTTACTGGGTTCGCAATTGAATATTTATACATGTTTTATGAATTTCCTTATGCAAATATAGGGTCTAAGCAAAAGTTACCGTGTTCATTCGAACGCGTAACTAAAGTGGTAGCTCCGCCCTTGCGTCTAACTTATTCCAAATACACTAAGTGGAATCCAGCATCTCATTAATTGAGAGTATATGCAGTTTTGCTGGGTGTTATGCTTTTTGGAGAGAAGAAGTGTAGAATGCTTGCGGATCTGTTAAGAGATAAATAGAGAATTAACTAATATTTTTGTGATAGAAGCGGATCTAAGTTTTGATTTTAGAGTAGGTGGAATTGAAGTGGATGTGATGGTGATTGCGCCCGTTTCTAACATTCTGTTTCCACCCATGCTTTGTGATTGCTTTATGAAGAACGGGGGAACTGTATCCACTTTACTAAAAAATAGAGTTCAAAATGGTCTGTTTGGGTTATCTCCTGATGCTTAATGCGATATAAATTAACTATTCTCTTAAAGCAGTTCGTTACTTTTGATATAACAAAATTTCTAACTTCATTACAGCTAGAGGAAATTTGTTGTGACAAGTTTTGAACTTCATTATGGCCGGTGTCTCTGGTTCTATTCATTTTTAATTGTTCCCCTGAGTTATTGAATCTTTTGGACAGCCAGTGTATAACTTTTTCTTTTTTTTATGCTTCTAATTTATACTTTCTCGTGATTGTTTCAGATGTTGGACTACAATGTACCTGGAGGTGAGAACGAAGTTCTACTTCTAGCTATTTTAAATTTTCTACTAATTCCATAATATTTAATAGCTAGAGATTTTTATTCTAAGCAGGGGCGTATCTATGGTTTAGGGCATGGATTCACGTGAACCCATGCTTCTCTCCCTAGATTATGTATAATAATGTTGTATCTCTTCAAAATTATTTAAATATATATGTGTGCGCCCAAGCTCAAAGAATTCTATGGTGCAATGATTATTGGGTGCACCTTTACAAGTGAAGTCGGGGTTTCAAAGCCCACGTCTATCTTGTTGTTTTTAATGATAAGGACCTAAAGGCTAAACCCATCAAATGTAAATCACGGATCCACCTCTAATTAAGTGCACCCATCTTCTTAAAATCCTTGATCGCCTCTGATTTAAGTACTTCATACTACAGGAAAGCTGAATCGGGGGATCTCTGTTATTGATAGCTACAGTTTGTTGAAAGAGGGGAAAGAACTAACCAGCGAGGAAATCTTTCAAACATCTTCCCTTGGCTGGTGCATTGAATGGGTATGCAACATTAGCATTCTTCAAGCTACACCTATCCTGGTTTCTAACCCCGAATAAACCTTATTTTTTTCTTTTAAATTCTTCTGAGTGTATGGTGTGATTGTGTGCTGCAGCTTCAAGCATATTTCCTTGTTCTTGATGATATAATGGATGGCTCTCACACACGCCGAGGTCAACCGTGTTGGTTCAGATTACCGAAGGTGTGTGTATGCGAAGAGACTGCTGTTTTGCTCTTTGAATTGATCGGCAATTACATCTACTCAGTCATTTTTTTAATTCTTGTAGGTTGGCATGATTGCTGCTAATGATGGCATACTTCTTCGTAACCACATCCCAAGGATACTGAAGAACCACTTTAGAGGAAATCCTTATTATGTCGATCTTCTTGAGTTGTTTAATGAGGTGAAAATTTTTAAGCGCAAAGGAGGCCTCTGATTTAAACTTCTTATAATGCTGAACATTTTTCCTTTTTTTCCTCTTTGGCATTGCCGACATGTTTTTACAGGTGGAATTCCAGACTGCCTCTGGACAAATGATAGATTTGATTACTACACTTGTTGGAGAGAAAGATTTATCAAAATACTCATTTCCTATGTAAGGAGACTTCGTTGAGAGTACTGCGCAATTTTTGCTGCTTTCAGTATTACTTGCATTATTTAACTCATTGTGATGTGATTTTTCATGCAGTCATCGGCGGATTGTCCAGTATAAAACTGCTTATTACTCATTCTATCTCCCAGTGAGTATGAATTGACTTAATAGCTTGTTAATTGCTATTCTATTATGAGAATGTCTTAATATCTATTTCTTTTTCTGAATATTTAATTTGTATGGAAGACATGTCATTTTTCTAACTTGAGTATAGATGTTTTAAAACAATCTCAAAGTCTAAACCTCTTGAAGTCAATTAGCTATTTGCAAAAATATGCCCAAGCTTCTTATGTGGATTTCCATCTGAGCTAAACCTTGCACTTTCCCCTTCAATCTATTTTTAATGTTTTTATTTTTTTATTTCTCTAGATTCTAGATTGTAAACATGACTTTTAAAACTTCTGTGCATGCTCAGTTTGTGGTTAAACTTCCTGTTCCTCTTAACGAATTCACTATCCAGATTAATAAGAATTACCTCGAGATTAATGTGCATTTGATATAAAGTACAGCCGAATACTTACTATCAATATTTTCAGGTGGCATGTGCACTTCTTATGGCAGGAGAGAGTCTTGACAATCATGTTAATGTCAAGAACATACTTATCGAAATGGGAATCTATTTCCAAGTTCAGGTGAGAATTACGATTAACCGTGCCATTAGTTCATATTCTATCTTCTAATAGATGCCATGAGTTCTATGTAAGTAACACATAAACTTTTAAGAGGGGGCTTGGTTTTGGTTTTAATTTAGTTATTGGAACAATTAGCTTATAAATATGCTAGGAAAATATGTGTGTGTATGAATTAGTGTTGGATGTATTTGGATTATAGATTATTCTCCAAAAAGAAATGGTTAGTAGATCACAGCTGAGGCAGAGAGTACGCATAACAGGGTGTTTGGAATTCATGCTTTTGAAGATAGGATTCAGAGGTTAGCTGTCGTGTCGCCAAACTTCCACTTCAGAATGTTGCTTGAAAGGGAATACCGGCTTATAGTAATAGTTCCATGAATTGAAGCATTCAGTTTGGTAAACCAAATTAACTTGGTTTTGAAAAACAGAGTTTGAGTTTTCTTCTGTCTTTGAAATCTAATAGGATTTGGTTTTGAGAAAACCTGGTTTAGTTTTCTGAAAGAAAAAAAAGAAGAGTTGGTTTCCCTTTTGGACATACAAAACAATTGTAACTGAACCACTCATTTATCTGTACGTGATGTGTACACCACATAAACAATTATTAAAAAAAAGAAATAAAATAGACTAAATCATTCTTATAGTTAGCATTTGTTTTTTAGACTTGAATGTTGCGGTTTTTAAAATGTTGCACATTACATCCCTGTACTTATTGAATATGCTAAGAACCTTCCTGTACTTGTAAAAAAACCTGTATATTATTACCCCCTAACGGGAGGTTTGAAATTCGCTCTCTTTCAATGTAAGTGCGAATGTTTTGAGACACCTTATTGACACGTGAAAGATACGTGTATCATGTGGTCAAGCAATGAAATTTTTGGATGGATTAGGTGATAACCTTTTTGTATTGTCCATCTAATTTGGTTTGTTTGCCAAATTACCTAAGAATAATATCCCATTTACAAATTCTGACTGAAAGTTTTTGGTACTTTGTAGGATGATTACTTGGACTGCTTTGCTGACCCCGAGGTGCTGGGTAAGGTAGGTTTTATAAGAAAGCTAACACTACAAAATCCTGAAGATTAATCACTGTGCTCTTTTAACTTTGAAAAAAGTATAAATCTTACGAGTATTTGTCTTGCTATCAGATTGGCACGGATATTCAAGATTTCAAGTGCTCTTGGTTGGTAGTGAAAGCCCTCGAACACTGCAATGAGGAGCAAAAGAAGTTATTATATGTGAGCCTAAAAAAGTTGTCATTCCTTATTTACATTCTCTCAAACAACTAGCTAGTTTGAGGAAATGCTAAATGGAAGAACTTTGTTTGCAGGAGAACTATGGAAAAGATGATCCTGCTTGTGTTGCTAAAGTTAAAGCCCTTTACAATGATCTCAAACTTGAGGTATTCTTCCTTCCTTACTTTACTGTTTCTGCTTTCTTCAATAAGTAGTCATGAAAATGTACTCTTTTTCATAAACAGTCATCTCAAATATGGTACTTTCGCCGAGCCTGATCCAGGATTTAAACTGGATTAGTCAACCTTTAAAGTAGTCATGACGTTGTATTCTTTTCTTAGTAAATTGCTCGGACTCTTCAAAAGTGCCACCGGATGCATGTCAGATCCTCCAAAGATAGTGCACTTTTGAAAGATCCGACAAGGGTGCGGCGAAGAGTTTGAGCAACATAGCTTTGGCCAGAGGCAGATCCAGGATTTAAACTTGATGGGTTAACTTTTAAAGTTCTTAGCACTAAACTTATTATACTTTTAAAATTATGGGTCCAAAATATAATATTTGTTGATATTTAGTGGCTTTTCACATATATATCCATGTTCGTGTACAAAATAATGGGTTCGGTTGAACCCCTAGCTAATAAGCTACATCCGCCCCCGACTTTGGCCTATTCTTTTTGGGAAATTTTGTAGGATGTGTACCTGGAATATGAGAAGAAGACGTACGAAAAGCTGATCAACTCTATTGAAGCTCAACCAAGCAAAGCAGTGCAAGCAGTTCTGAAGTCATTTTTGGCAAAGATATATAAGAGGCAGAAGTAGAAACTCAATGAATTACTGAATTTTAATGTTTAATGGTTAGCATTATTTGTGTTTCTTCCAATGGAGAAGATGTGTATGTATTTCAAGGGCAGAGCTAGAGTATTCCATACGGCCTATGGGTTCGGTGGCAAATTAAAAATCCATAAACTTCAAATCGGGCTCCGCCTTTGTGTATTTCATGGATTGTTCTACTTTCTTGTATGGCTTCCATGATCTTCTATTTTATTTTCCAATAATACTATCTCCGGTCCATTTTAGTTGTTGTTTAAGATTTTAGCACATCCATTAAAAATATTATTTAATTGTATTAGTTAACGGGTTATTTAACTAAATTACGCAGACCAGTATATAAGTATTTCAAAAATGTATAATTGGCAAACTGGTTAATTGATTAGTTTGTTGAGATGTGTATGATATAGGTTTACTACCTGTTTCATTGTTTGCTTTAGTACCTATCTTACTGTTTGCATTGTAAAGCTTTAAATAATTTGTGACCAATTTAATTCTTCTAGTTGAATGTTATCCCTCTTTAAGTCAGAAACTTAAATCTAAATGCCAGTAAAACCTCAGCTTTAAGCATTAACACGAAAGGGTTTAATGCTCTGCGCATCTATTNCAAAATTAGAAGACAATCCCCTTTTTGCCCTTCAACACCTAATAAAACTCCGACCTAAGAATAATTTTAAACCATAGTCAGCGACAGATCTGGACATTTTTCTCAAAGAATTTAGACACGTGAAATCCAACCACTTCAATAATGGCAAAGGCAAATACGATTTGCTAGCGGCAAGGACATGAATAGGCAGAAGCGACTTTCCCCTTTAATGAATTGGAAATGCCAGTTCCAATATATATGCAAATTAATACATCAAACAAACGATCCAAGCTTGAACTTTTACCTTTTTCATTTTTCAGTGCTAAGAAGCTCAACTTAACTAACAAGGAATTTGGTTAACTCAACACACAGTAACTCGAGCTTGACTTGTGGATCAGCCTGACTAAAGGCACTTGAGCTGGAACAAAATTTAAGAACTCATTAAGAGATTAAATCAAGCTTAAGCAAGTTGCCACTTGATCACGTCACTACACCCCTACATATATACAAGGCAGTAACTAACGATGTTTGAACCAAAATTTTTATAAAAGGAAACGTTACAATGAATATATCAATTAGGTAGGAATTCTCCGTATCAATCTTCAGTTAGTCGGTCTATTCCAGGCCGTCTCTGATGTCACGGCATTTCCATAATAGACCTGCTTTGTGGAGTCATCCCAATAAGCCTGGAGAAGAGAGCACCATTAGACAAGACAGAAATGGCAGAAAAAGTGCAAAGTCACATGAGATGCAGCGCCATCCACAATTTTTTTGGGGGGGAAAAAATCGAGGATTTCACCATCCACAAATTATCGAAACTTATGGTCCCCTTCAACTGATTTCACTAAGTTATAGCCTGTAGGGTAGGGGGCTAACTAGGTTATAGCCTATAGAAGATTGGAGTCACTGGGGAACACAATTATCAGCATACGAGCTTAAATTGAAAGACTAGTAAGCAAGTAGGAATTGAAACCAGTTAACCCCTAATTGAATCGTATTTCAAGAGGTATAACTAAGATAATAAATTGATCTACTCGGATAATGTTTTTGATCTAATAGATACAGAATTGAATATCGACCCTTTACCGCCTCTCTGGCTACATTCATTTTACCACCCTAATGGCTTTTGTAACCTTTTGAATGACCTCATGTTTTTAACACTAGTAGCTATTAGTCCTTGATGATTGGAATATATTCTCTTCTGCTAGATTGCCAGTTTTTCAACACGGCCGCCACGAGGCTATTATACAAGTGTTGACCTTGCTCAATATCTCTGTATCGTTCCATTTTTTTTTTTATTGGATGTCCCCCAAGGGACTTGACCTTGCTCAATATAAATGATGATTGATTCTACTAAGAACAAGCAAAATCAAAATGAGAACTCCAATATTTTTGATCGGTACTGATAGCTCCAATCTATGTCAAGGAACATAGTTAAAGGTATTCAATGCCAAAATTTGAAGTGATTTAATTAGTATGCTCCACCAAACTGTGGCATGTACAGAGTTTGGAGTATTATTGAATTCTTTCAGCAATCTACCCTGATTTCTGCCCTTGCCAAGCTAATGGCTAATTGGACATTAGGAAAAAACAGACTAACAAGGAAAATTGATCCACAGACAAACAAACAAGTTAAAGCTGCAAACACGTTAAATTTTCTATTAATTTTGGGTTTCCAACTTAAAAGGTTGTTTTTAATACCACTAAAAGGTTGGTTTTGATACCATAAGGAGGTGATTCATGAGTTAGAGACCTCAACGAAGACAACATCAGTTCTTTTTCATGATTAGATACACAATGCTTCCACACATACTCACAAATAGAGATTAGGATGATATTCATTTTCGTGGCTCAAAATTAGTCTCAACTTCTTAGAGAAGGAAGAGAATGAGGGCACTTGGATCGTGTATCATAACAACAACAAACCCAGTGTAATCCCACAAGTGGGGTCTGGGGAGGGTAATGTGTACGCAGACCTTACCCTTACCTTGTGAAGGTAGAGAGGTTGTTTCTCATAGACCCTCGGCTCAAGGGTCGTGTATCACACACACACAAATAAAATTTCATCTTCCATGCAAGGGTATAAAACACCTGAGCCGAGAAGTATACCTGCCATCCAGATGGAAGACCTCTAGAAAGAACATTCAGATCAGGCTGCTCATTTTCTTCAGATGGTTGCTTTTCAGCCTCCCTCATCTTTTCAGCTCTTTTTCGTTTCACACGCTCTCGCCTGCAACATCAATATAGTCAAGACAAAATGTAGAGAAACTATAATTTACTACGTTTATTGATTATGATACCGCATGCACAACTGTAGCGTCACTTCCTTAAGAGTGCATCCATATGATTCAAGCAATACATACATGCTGAAATAGAGCACATATCAAGTGAAAGAGTAAAACAAAGAACACCTAACTCCCCTAAGATCGGTAAGGGCTGGGAGAGGAGGGAGGATCTTAAGACAAGTTCACTATTCCAACAAAGGACAACACATAATAAGATATAACATACAGATATAGTGCAGTGAAAACTAAAACTAAATGATCAGAAGTGCTACCAATCACCGCCAAGTGGTTGAAAATTAGCATTTTCTTTGGCCTCCCCACTTGCAATCTGCTTAGCACGCCATTCCTACAATCAAAATAAAGTTAGATACACTAGATTCTATGCCTATCAACATCAAACTGCACATAGCATCATCAGACCTCTATTTCTCGTTGTCGTTTCTTCTCCAGCTTCTCCAGAACACTTTCGGGTTCTTCCTCTTCCCCTGCATGCAGCTCCTCTTTGGCAGCTTTCCACTAATGAAAATTATGAAAAGAATAAGCATTACGAAATCATTTAAGAGAAACTGCATTGCCAAAACGTTATAAACAATCTTCAAAGACCTAATGGGAGCACCAAAGAGAAGGCAGTTACCTTGTCAACCAAGCTCGAGACTTTCTTATTAGACCTTAATGTGGACACCACACCAGTAGTCCGCTTTTTATTACGTGAAACTGAGGAGAAAAAGAAAGCAAAATAAGAATATTCAGCTTCATATACTTTGGAAAAAGCTCCATGAGGAAGAGTTTCACATGTTACTGCAGTAGAAAATGCCTCCGGATACTAATGACATACTAAAAATGCAAGAACAGCAACTTTCAACCAAGCAAAGAAAGTTTAGATTGCCCAACTTACCTTTCGATTGAACCTTTGAGGGGGCAGTTGAAGCAGCAACAACAGAGCCAGTGACCATAGATGTTGAAGACACAGCACCACCATCCATCACTGATACACTTCTTGTAGCATGCAAAGAGGATTGTGTAGCAGGAACATCAAAAGATGTCTTTTCAGTCTCCAAATTAACAGGTACAACGGCCTCAGTTTTCGCTAACAAATCAGATCGTGACCCCCCCTGGACATCTAAGGATGGAACTGCATCAGGTGTAACATTTTCATGAACTGGTATAGCTGGAAGACCAGAAGACTCTGTACCACTGACTACGGAAACAGGCTGCAGTGCTCCATCCTGATAGCCATAGTATGCAATGGGATCAACATGGTTGATTGCCACAGGAGCAGCACTATACGTATCCGGGATTTGATAATATAATGGTTGATGACTAACAGCTATCTGACCGTCCGAAGTTGCATATAAATTACTGGCAACTTCAGAATTAGTTTGCCCATAGTATTCAAATGTCGAACCTGGATAAGCTAAGTTATAAGAAAAAGGTTGAACCGATTCCATATCTGAAGGAAGAGCATGTGTGTGATCTAAAGGTTCATCGGGTGGTGGTGGTGGAAAAGGTTCATTTTCAGGAGGAGGTGGAGGAATCCAGTCTTCATCAGGTGGAGGAAGAACATTAGGTGTTTGTTCCGGGACGGAGGACTCCAATTTTGTCTGTAGCGCAGAAAGACTTGGTACGTCCAGTGGGGCATGATTTGGGGCATGTAGTACATCCCCCACAGTTAAGCTGCTCGAAGGTTCTGCGTCTTCAACTTCCATATCCACATCCATGTCTACTTCTTCAGCCGGATGAAGCACTGTTTGAGGAGTTAACTCTTCATGTACAGTGACTCCAGTGGCTCCAGTTTTCTCACTTGCATCACTGAAAGAAAATGTGTAAGGCAAGTTAGATGAGAAGTAGCACCACTATAAAACAACAAACCCAGAAGTAGCACCACTATAGAAACAGAAAGTTTATCATGTTCTTTATAGTCGAAATAATCAAGGTAAATCCAGCATACCCAGTGGTAGGATGACTTGGCCTCTCTCCAGTTGCATCGGGTACATGATCACTGTCTTTGTGAGATTCATGACCAGCCTCAACATCACTGTGTTGTCCGGACAGGAATTGACCACGAATTTGATTTATTTCTGAATCTAGCAGTTTTACCTTCCTCTCAGAGTGCACCCAGAAGGGAAGCAATGACAACCCATTACAGGCTAAGGACCTAATATCAGCTAGCCTAATCTCAAGTTCCAATGCATATTTTGAAATTTGATCATGCAACTGCACGTAATAATTGGACCTGTTGAACAAGAAATAATCAGTAAAAACAAACAGGGGAAGGAAAAGAAGAAAGTGAGAGGAGGAAAGATCCTTGTAAAAACTTTTCAGACATACAACAAGAAAAACTGAAGAGATGTTGGAATAAAGCTCCGAGGAGAAGCACATAGG